TGATCTCCTGCCTGAGCTTCCCAAAATTCTAGGATTACAGACATGAGCCACTGTGGCTAGCCCCTGCCCACGTTTTCTTGGACACCTCAACTTCAGAAGAACAAAATCTGAAGAGTATGGGAAGAAACCAGCCCGTGAAAGGAAAAACAACGGAACAAGGAGCTTACAAACAAGGAAAGAAGCTATCAGTGGTTTCTTGGCCTTGTATACCTGTAAGGTTTGGGAGGCTCAGGAGCTGGCTGTTTAGCTTCTCGGGCACGTCGCTGAGGATCAAAAGAGCTGCCATCTACATAAGAATCACTGATGCCAAAGGCAGCACGGAGTCTTTCATTCTTCTTCTCATTCAATTCTGCCAACTGGTGAGTCTCCGTGACCCTAGAGAAAAAAAGCGAGAGAAAGTCTGAATGAAATATAAAGGACAGAGCCATGTAAGTATAAGCAGGAGCCAAATAAGGCATGGGAAAGGCAGACAAAAGCAGGGAGGAAGTCCCACATGAGGAAAAGGACAGCAGTAGCAGCCAGAATCCAGAGTCATCAAGGGAGAGTTCAACACTCACGCTGGCCTCTGCCCTGGGGTCTCCTCCTTGCCCCCAGGGTTCACATCCTTCTCCAGCAACATGAGTCGAAAGGTCGCCACTTTTTCCTGAATTTGCTGTTCCTCGTACCTGAAGAACAAATCCCTTCAAGGTTAAGCTTAACAGGATACTTTCCCCAGTCCCAGGTCTCCACTTCCCTCACTCCCAAAAGGGTTCCTTCCCTCTCCATGCACACACAGAACTTTTTGTTTGCTCTCACCCAAATCTCCCTTCTCTCCAGTCCTGATCTTTTCCCATCATCTTTCTTCCCTCTGCTGACTACACCCTCTAGAACAGTGGATTTTAAACATGCTACAGGGGCCAAAAGAAAAAAATTAAGCAAGCAGGGTTCCAAATGCTCCTCCCCAACTTCAACAGGAATAGGCCTTTTATTTCCCGGGATTCCAAAGTGAAGGATACTGTAAAAAGGGTCACCATTGCTGAAGTTTGAAAACCACTGCTCTGAGAGTTTTCTGCCTTAATGTGTTCCTTTTCCAAAATTGCCCTTTCCAGCCCAGATTCCCTCTTACTCAAGTATTCTTCCAACTGCTCTTTTCCTGCCTATGCTACTTTCCAAGGCCTCAATCCTTACATCCATTTATCTTCTTTTCTACCAATGACAACACCTATCAGCTTACCTAGCTCCTCTACCTGGTATGTGCTTTCCTTTCTCTCCCTTAAAACACATTTTTGTTCTTCAACAGCCCCTCCCTTCCCCCATGTGCCTCCTTCAGTCCCTCAGGCTCCCATCTATGTCCCTGACACACAGCCTTCTCATTTCCCACTCTGCACTGTCCCTTAACTGTTTTTCAATACTGTAGAGCTCATTTACCTCCTCCCCTACCACAACTCCTTGCCAGGCCTCTTTCAACCAGCCAGCCCTAAGTTCCATACATCCCACCTAACACCCCCAGCTCTGTACTCATTCAGTGCTTGACTCTCCCCCAGCCCTCCCTCACCCCTGCTCTTCCATCATCTCCTCCAGCTCGAGGCATCGCAGCTCGACGCGCCGCTTGCGCTCGTGGTCCAGGATGTCAGGATTAGGCCGCTTCACCAGGGCAGCCTCCAGGCGCCGCAGTTCCTCCTCTCCCTTGTAGTCAGGCCGCTCACCCCGGCGGCCCCGCACCAGGGACAGGTTGCGCTGGACGTAGCCGTTGGTGCCGCTGCCCCGGGGCGTCGGCAGCCCGATCCCGTTGTACATGGCCCCGTGCCCGGGGTGGGGGGGGGATACCACCGCTCCTGAGGGGGAGCGGGGAGACACGGGTCAGGCCCCTGGCCCCAAACTAACCACTTATCCCCCCACACACCCAAGTTCCTGCTCTTCTTCATCACTACTTCAACATTTATCTTCACACTAAGTCTTCAGCTGTATAATGCTCCATCATCCTCCTGGTCTCCCAAAAAACCACTTCTTCGTCCTTCCCAACTTTCTTTCTACCAAATCACAGCCCAGTTCTTACAACCTTTCTCTCAATGCCCTTGACACAGAATTCTAAATAATCCCTCCCTGCACCTAGATTTTCTTCTTTTTCCACCCTACACAAACAAGGATCTGTTTCTCTCAAATTTCTCCACACTGTCCCTTTTTATTCTACTTTGGCCCCAAAATGCACAAGTGATGTCTTTACCAACTACTCTAATTCCTAACCTCTGATAACCAACTAAGGCCTCCTGGGCACGACAAACAACAGACATAGATCTGTGGCACCCAAGGACCTCTAGTTCATGTCCAGAGACTCCGAAGAACTTACCTAAGGATTTTAGACCATCCTACTTGAATACAAAATAAACTACACAGCCCCTCAGTATCGGAACATGGACCAGTTGTTTCAGAATGTGCAGCCTCACCCCAACTAAACAAACACCAGCATGCACATAAGAAACACACATGAACCTTGGATAATCTTCATAAACTTCACCTCCCAGGTAAGGGCTATTTCCTTGATTCCAAATATCTGAAGATCCCATCAACTATCCTGGTATTTTATTCCTTCAATTTCCTTCCTCTAAATAGGAGTTACCACAATTTACATCTCCTCCAAGTCTTGCCAGCTCCTGCCAAATATTACCCGTTTTCAACTCTACGCTCTAGCAAACACATCAAACCACTCTTCTCTGTTCCACCCGTTCCCATACCTTCTCCACATACCTTGCCCTAAGTCTAGAAACCCTCTCTATATTCCACTTTCATTAATGTCCAACTGTTGGCTTTCCCTAACAATCCCCTGGATAGCACTTCCTAGTTTTTCTCTCCCAGCCCTGCCTCTCCTTTCTCTCCTGTGTTAACCCCATGCTTCCTCCCAGATTCTAGCCTTTCAACTTGTCCCAACCCTAACGTGACTCTGAAAAATTCTCAAGTCCCAGCTTCTCTGGTTAGATTCCTAGCTTAAGAAATACTCTATTCCTTACACATACTCTATTCTCTTTCTTTCTCATCCTTATCCTCTCCAAGATAGTTTCCCAAAACATACATGTGTGAGGAAAAACTACTCAGAAAAACTCCTAAGGAATAGGCAAAGTGGAGAGATTAATCAAAGATGGAAATAATAACTGGATAGAAGGGAAGGATGTATTTAGAAAACTTCTAGAAAGACGCATCATACAAATGTCTGGGAAAATATCCTAGCGGGCACACACACACATAGTATGGTGAAATGCTGAATGGAAGAGAGCTAGCCAAGGTCCAGAACAGTTTTCTCTTCCGTAAGTCCTCACCCTAATCTAAGGATGGGTTCCCTACCCAATCCCAGCAGCAGACCCAATACGAAAAACAAAGTGTCAGAAGAGGCTTGGCGCGGTGGCTCACACCTGTAATCCTAGCACTTTGGGAGCCGAGACGGGCAGATCACGAGGTCAGGAGATCGAGATTATCCTGGCCAACACAGGGAAACCCCCGTCTCTACTAAAAACACAAAAATTAGCCAGGTGTGGAGGTGCACGCCTATAGTCCCAGTTACTCAGGAGGCTACGGCAGAAGAAGAGTTTGAACCCGGGAGGCGAAGGTTGCAGCGAGCCAAAATCACGCCACTGCACTCCAGCCCGGGGACAGAGCAAGACGCACTAAAACAGAAAAAAAAGAAAAAAAAAAAAAGACAGAAGAGGCTAAGCAGAAATTCAGGAAAAAAAAACGAAAAACTTTATGGCTCAAAAAATAAATTTCTCTACATCCCAATCCTCATTTTCCTGTTCTAGCACCAATCCTCCCCACAGATTAAAAGTAGGTCCTTCTCTGCCTCTGCCTTCCCCACCTCATTTCTGCTTCCCTTGCAGAATGTTTTTGACCTGCAATAATTCTTCAGCTTTACCATTCGCCCACACTTCCACACCACCTCACACAAAAATCCTCCCACTCCCTGAGAAAACCCGTAATCCCAGCACTTTGGGAGGCCAAGGTGGGCTGATCAGGAGATCAGAAGATTAGAGACCGTCCTGGCCAACAGGGTGAAAACCCGTCTCTCCTAAAAATACAAAAGTTAGCTGGGCATGGTGGCGCGTGCCTGCAGTCCCCGCTACTAGGGAGACTGAGGCAGGAGAATCGCTTAAACCCAGGAGGCGGAGGGTTACAGTGAGCCCACATCGCACCACTGCAGGAAAAAAAAAAAAAAGAAAAGCAGTGGCGCTAAGCAAAGGATATTTTAAGTCACAATGTTTCCGAGAACTTCTAGGGAATGAGCCACCGCTACCCGCCCCCCCAGACACACAGTAAGACACGGACCCCACAGCATCTAAGAGGGTGCGAAGACAAGGAGAGCAGGAACATCAACACCACACGCCAATCACCAAAGCGAACGATATTATCAAATTCTCGAAGTGGGGCCCACCAGGGTGGGTCAGGAAAAGTCACCCCAGGTACAAGCACAGAGTAAAAGGAAGACAAAAAGACCCTTTTCTCCGTCGGGAAATCACCAGGGCGCTAACAAGGAAGTAGGAAGGTATCTCGAAATCCAACATTAAAATGTGCAAAAAAAAGAAAATGGGACCAAAAGGAGAGAAAAGGGCCGTCCCAGAAAACGGCCGTGGGGCAGAGCCAGCCCGGCCCCGGCGCACTCGGGCGCAGCTGAGCGGACAAAGAAGCCCGACGGCTGAGCGGCAGCTCCGAGACCGCGGCCCACGCACTCGGGAGGAAACGCGCGGAAGCCTCGGTCCTCACCCGGAACCGCGCCGCGGAAGACCGTGCCCCAAATAACGCCCGCAACGGCCCCGGAAGGCTCAAGGTCTCCTTCGTTTTAACGACTGTCGGGAGACCACGAGAAAGTGAAAGCAGGGGACGCACCGTCCGCCTTAGAGATGCAGACGGAGTCCGTTCGCGCTCGCCGCGGGTAACATCCGGGGCTCCCTCCCCGGAACTGGCCGTCGCCGGGAGTCCGAGCCGCTTAAACCCGGGCCGGGGGTCCAAGGCCCTCCCCGCAGCGCCGGCCTCGCGGAATGGGGGAGGGAGCCGCGCGACCCCGCAGTCGGGCCGAGCGCCGGAGCGAAGCCCGAGGACAGGGATCGGGCCGGGGACCAGAGTCCGGGGGCAGGGCCCTCGCGGCCGCCCCTATCCCCGCCACCGAAGGGTCGAAAGCGGCGGCTGCGGAAAGGCCGCCTCGGCCGCACGTGCGGGGGGGGGGAAGGGTGAAGCCCAGGCGCGCGCGCTCCCCCCTCAGCCCAGGCGCTCGCGAACCCGAGGAAAGGCGGCGACGAGCGCCGCGGTCGTGGGGGAGGGGCGGGGAGTCGAAGCCCGCCAGCGACAGGAACAGCGGGAAGGGGGAAGGGAGGCCAGGGCGTCCGCGCCAGCGAAGGGCGGGGAGCGCGCGTGCGCGCGGAGGAGCGCGGCGACCTGAGCCGTTCTCCGCGCGCTTTGGCCTCGCGCCGGGGCCGCCGCCCCTCCCCCACCCGGCTCGCTGGCTCTCTCACCCGCCGCCTCCGCCCGCCGCCTCCGAGGGGGAGAGGTCTTGCCGCCGCCGCTGCTCGAGCTCCCGAGTCCCTCAGGGCCTGGAGCTGCCGCCTCGCCTCGCCGGTCCGCCCGCCTCAGCCGACGCCGACGCCTCCTCGCTTCCTCAGGGGCCGCAGCGGGCTCCGACTGCGCCACTCGCACCCCGCCTGGGCCGCGCTGCACGTCAGCACGACTAACTGCGTGCGTCACCACGCAAACGCGCGTCGCGGGGCCCGCCGGGAACTGGAGCAGGCTTTTGCTCAGGCGCCGAACCCACACCGAGAAGTATCGTTTCTTAAGGCGCACGGACGATTTCACTTCTTTGCCGAAGGACTAAGCGTCCCGTCGGCCAGTGCGACGAAGAACGGAGAAGGCGACCTAAGACACCGCGTATTCAAAGGCCTTCCGGTGCGGGGAGGAGCACAGGGCCTAGCGCCACCTAAGCGGCGCCCGGGAGCGTCCCACCGCCCGCCGTCCACGCAGAGCATTCTGGGAGTTGTGGTTCGGGCGTGTCGCGGAGCCCGGATGCAAATTTGGCTCTGGGCGCGGCGGCCATTTTGTCTCCCCATGTTGGGAGGCGATGGCCGTGGCACGGCGGTGCAGCTGTTGTCATGTGACTGTGGGCTTCCCGATCGAGCCCGCGGCTGGATAGCACTCCGACTTCCGCACCCGAGAGAAGCCGCCTCGGGCCCCAGCCAGCGGCCATCCCCGGAGTCCTTGAGCCTGGCTGCAGGCCCTGGACCTGCGCTAGGGGCCCAACCAGCTGCCCGTGGCGTAGGCTGCGCTCTGCCGCTGTGCACTGAGCTGAGGCCCGACGGCTGCCCCTGAGGGTGGAGTTCTAGCCTCGGGTACGGCAGCCAGGCTGGGGTCCCCCCAGAATCGGGAACGTGGCACCCGTGAAGGGGCACGTGCAGGAGCAGGGCAGGAGGGAAACGGGCGCCTTAAAAGTTTGCGCCCTTTGGTCCGTACTTGCTGTTAACTTTTCTAAGTCGGTGGTTCTGGGCCCGGTCGTCAGCGCGTCTCCCTCACGGCAGAGGCATTAGACGCTGGGCTGCTCGGGCGCAGGTTCGAATCTCACCCCGCCCCTGGACGCGCCCTTAGCTGTCCTTGCACCCGAAACGGGACGCAGTTCCTTTATATCTGACATTAGGGTTTGGAGGTGGTTTTTTGCTTGTTTTTAAGAGACGGGGTGTTCCCCAGGCTGGTCTGGAATTCGGGTTCAAGTGATTCTCCCACCTCAGGCTCCCAAGTAGCTGGGACTACCTGTGCGTACCACCACATCTGGCTTTTTAAACGGTTTCACTCTTGTCACCCGGGCTGGAGGGCAGTGGCGCAATCTCAGTTCACTGAAACCTCCGTCTCTCCCCGGGTTCAAGTGATTCTCCCAAGTAGCTGGGATTACAGGTGAGCGCCACCGCGCCCAGCTAGTTTTTGTATTTTTAGTAGAGGCGGGGTTTCACCATGTTGGCCAGGCTGGTCTCGATCTCCTGACCTCAGGTGATCTGCCCGCCTCAGCCTCCGAAAGTGCTGGGATTACAGGCGTGAGCCACCGCGCCCAGCTAGTATTCAGCTCTAAGTTTTGTTTTTCGCTTGTAACCTAAGCTCCCTGGCTTCCTGGAGCTTACATTACAAATAACTAGGCAACTACCAGACAGAACAGGTGCCAGGGAGGGTGGGAACAGGGTATGGGGTAAGGACAATGTCTGCAAAAGCATCCCGCCCTCCAGGGGGAGACCAGATGTCCAGGAAGTAACCTCCCAGCTGCCTAGAAGTGTTTCTCGAATTACCTTCTTATCTGGAGACCCCAGTCCCCACCCAGCCCGTCCTGCCGGGCTGGAAGCAGGGTCTCAGGCCTTCTGGCTTCCAGGCCCTGTGTGTTACCAGTCCAGTGGGTAGGATGGACTGAGGATGGTCCTCAGCGCAGGCATGGTGCACACAGCAAGCATAACAAGTGCCTGGGCCCTCTCTGTGGTACTCAGACCCCAAAGTCCTTAGCTCAGCCCCTGAGACATGCCCTGGTTCCTGTGCTCAGGACAAACAGATGTGAAACTCTGGAAGTGAGTGCAGCAAGGAACCGCCTTCCACGTGCGGCCATGACGTCCCATGTCCAAGCCCTGTGGGCACCGCCTCCTTCAGCGGCTCTTTCTGGCCTTGGTGTAGCACAGCTGGTGAGGTCGGCACTGTCCAGCCACCCCTTTCTTCTCGGGGTGAGGGGGAGAACCCTCTGTGATGTCAGGGTTTTAAAGTACTAATTGGGTCCAGGCGTGGTGGCTCACACTTTGGGGTGCTTGAGGCCTGGGAGTTCAAGACCAGCCTGGGCAACGTAGTGAGACTCCCCCCATCTCTTAAAAAAACAAGAAAACAGATAATCACTCGTTTTATTTTTTTAGGATTCCTAGTCTCTTTGAAAGAGGTTAACAGTCATAAATTTACAATATTTCAAAGCCTAGCACAGTGGCCCAGCTGTGATCCCAGCTGCTTGGGAGACTGAGGAGGGAGAATCACTTGATTGAGCCAACGCATTGGAGACAAGCCTGGGTAACATAGCAAAACCCATCACTGAAAGTAAGTAAATGTGTGAAAATCCAACTGAATTATGACTGCCAAGCCTGGCACTTTTTAATATAAAACTATTTCTTTTAAAAAAACTTTGGTTCAATTCATTCACCTCAGAGAACAAAAAAGAAAAAAAGTAAAATTAAAAAAGCACACACCTACATAAAAGATCCATCAGACAAACCCATCACCTAAAAATTATAAAGTAATGAATATCTCAAAAAAAGGAAAGATAAAGTAATGAATATCTAAAGCATGAAGAGATGCTTCTTTAGCTGCCTGATGCCTCAACCCACTCTGCAGAGTGCCCAGAGCCATAGCAGGAGCCCCTCCAGTGCAGCCTCCTCAGAGCGTCCCTGCAGCGCTGGAGCCACTCAGACACATCCATGTTAGTGCACTAGCGGCACAACTTCGTCATATTTAAAACGTGGAGTCTGGGCAATATGGCGAAACCCCATCTCTACTAAAAATACAAAAATCAGCTGAGCATGGGGGTGTACACCTGTAGTCCCAGCTACTTGGGAGGCTGAGGCAGGAGGATTACCTGAGGCTTGGAAGGTTGAGACCAGTGAGCCAGAATTGTGCCACTACACCAGCTTGGGTGACAGAGTGTGACTCTGTCCCCCCACCCCCCCAAAAAGGAGCCTAAATACCCATTTACAGGAAATGAGTTAAATTCATTTGAAATTCATTAATTATGAAATTAGGCCCATCTGGATGATGACATGATTAATTTAACTCTTGAGTTACAGAATAAAGAGGAACTCTGCGGCCAGGCGTGGTGGCTCACGCCTGTAATCCCAGCACTTTGGGAGGCCGAGGTGGGCGGATCACGAGGTCAACAAATCAAGACCATCCTGGTGAACATGGTGAAATCCTGTCTCTACTAAAAATACAAAAAATTAGCTGGGCATGGTGGTGCACACCTGTAATCCCAGCTACTCAGGAGGCTGAGGCAGGAGAACTGCCTGAACCTAGGAGGTGGAGGTTGCAGTGAGCCGAGATCACGCCATTGCACTCCAGCCTGGGTAACAGGAGCAAAACTCCGTCTCAAAAAAAAAAAAGGAGCTCTGCATTCTCCCAGTGCCCAAGGCACCATGTCAGGCTATGTTGTCATCAGGCTGGTAGGTGGGTGGCAGACAAATCCAGGCAGCACCCAGGAGCCTTCATGGCTTCCCTGCTCCAGCTTGGTGGCCACAGCCTGACGCCCCTTCCCTCAGGGCTGCACCGGGCCTGTGGAAATCTTTGTGACCCAGGTTTCACTCATAGGCCAAGATACCCTGCACTTGCTCTCAGCAGGGACAGCGCTCCGTGCAGTGCCTGCAGCCTTCATACAGCTCAGCTTTTCTTTCTAGGAGCTAGGAAGCTGTCAGCTTAGCTCTCTGTGGGCAGGGTTTTTAAAATTCTGTTTGTCTGCAGTCAGAGCTAATGGTCCCAAAACACAAATCCCCACCTACAGGCCTGTCAAGGAGGCACAGGGCCCACGCCCATCCCTCCAGGTGCCCTTGTGCAAGTGACAAGCACCCACAGCCTCAGAGGAGTCCTCACTGCCCGATCTCAGCATGTTGCTCTCTGCAGGGTTTGGTGCCCGAGATGCACAGTCCCGGGAGGAAGATGGCCCAGTGAGCCGCACACCCAGCACCGCTCAAGGCCATAGGTGCAAATGTGGGCTCTGGTCTTCACAGGCCCTGGAGAGGAGACCTTTCCATACCTGGAGTTTGGGAGCCGCGGGAGGCAGGCATGGGGAGAGGTGAGCTTACACAGCCGGGCAGGGGAAGGGAATAGAGGGCTGAGACACAAAGCAGGCCAAGATGCATTTCCTCTCTTGCAGGGTTCTCAGTGACCCCTGTACGCTGAAGACTCCCTCTCCGTCTCTGCTGTGCTGGGTCTGCTAGGTGAGGTCTCCAGTGCCTGAAGCCCTGTGTGCCAGGGCCAGGCCTATCCCAGAGCCCCATGCACCTTCCACGTTAGCCCCAGTGGTCGGTGGTCATGTCCTCCTCCAGGATACACAGCTTCCCTCAGCCCCAGTGTGACTGATTTTGCCCACCCAGGAATACCCTGTGCAGAGGCCCACTCCAGGCAGGAGCCTGCAGGGCTGAGAAGGGCTTGTGAACTCCTGAGTGGCCCTAACTGCTGCCCCCCAGGACGGTTGGCCCCAGTACCATCACCCTGTGTTTTGAGTGGAAAATGTTCCAATAGGGCGTGACTCCAAGTAGTTCAAAAATACAAAGCATGTGGGGAGGAGTCTGGCTTGCGTGCCCTCCCCTCTTACCTGTCCCACCCTAATAGGTCAGCCTGGGGTTGTTTTCTCCCATGCCTTGTGTCTTTTGACAAATCCCCCTTGGGGCTTGTGCCTCAAGGCACAGGCCAAGGCTGTATGGGGACCATGCTGTGCTGTCTGGCCGAGAAGGATGTCTCCATCACTTAAATGCATCTGTGATCTGCTCAGTGGAGCCACTCTGTCCTCCACGGCCAGGTACTAACTCTTGCCCCTCTGCAGCACCCAAATGCCTGTTCAACACAACTTTGCTGCCAGAGTGTGTTGCCTTTCTTTTTTTTTTTTGAGAGTGAGTCTTGCTCTGTCGCCCCGGCTGGAGTGCGGTGGCATGATCTTGGCTCACTGCAACCTCTGCCTCCTGAATTCAAGCAATTCTCATGCCTCAGCCTCCTGAGTAGGTGGGATGGGATTACAGGCTCATGCTACCATGCCTGGCTAATTTTTGGTTGTTTTGTTGTTTGTTTGTTTTCGTTTTTTTTTTTTTTTTTAAGACAATCTCGCTCAGTCACCAGGCTGGAGTGCAGTGGCGAAATCTCGGCTCACTACAACCTCCGCCTCCTGGGTTCAAGTGATTCTCATGCCTTAGCCTCCCAAGTATCTGGGATTATAGGCACATGCCACCACACCCAGCTAATTTTTGTATTTTTAGTGGAGACCAAATTTCACCATGTTTGCCAGGAGGGAATTTTTGTTTTGTTTTTTGAGACGGAGTCTGCTCTGTCACCCAGGCTGGAGTGCAGTGGCACTATCTCAGCTCACTGCAACTTCTGCCTCCTGGATTCAAGCAATTCTCCTGCCTCAGCCTATCGAGTAGCTGGGATTACAGGTGTGCGCCACCATGCCCAGCTAATTTTTGTATTTTTAGTAGAGATGGGGTTTCTCCATTTTGGTCAGGCTGGTCTCAACTCCTGACCTTGTGATCTACCTACCTCAGCTTCCCAAAGTGATGGGATTACAGGTGTGAGCCACCGAGCTGGGCCAAATTTTTGTATCTTATTTTTGAGACAGATTCTTACTCCATCACCCAGGCAGGAGTGCAGTGGCACAATCTCGGCTTACTGCAGCCTCTACCTCCTGGGTTCAAGCAATTCTCCTGCCTCACCCTCCGAAGTAGCTGGGACTACAGGCGCATGCCACCACGCCCAGCTAAATTTTTTTTTTTTTTTGTATTTTTAGTAGAGACGGGATTGCACCATGTTGGCCAGGATGGTCTTGATCTCCTGACCTCATGATCTGCCCGCCTCAGCCTCACAAAGTGCTGGGATTACAGGCATGAGCCACCACGCCTGGCCAATTTTTGTATCTTTAATAGAGATGGAGTTTCACCGTGTTGGCCAGGCTGGTCCTGAACTCCTGACCTGAAGTGATCTGCCCACCTCAGCCTCCCAAAGTGCTGGGATTACAAGTGTGAGCCACTGTGCTCAGCCCAGGGTGTGTTGCTTTTTGCCTATCTCCCCAAGAAGTTTGCATTTTCCTGTTGTAAGTGAGGCTGAGCATTCTCCATACGTAAGAAGTTGTTTTAGTTTCATTTCCTGTGAACTGTGTACAGACCCCGAGTGAGGTTCCTGCAGCTGCCACAACCAATTCCCACAAACCGAGTGGCTATAAACAACTCCAGCTTCAGCCCTGACAATTCCGGGGCTAGAAGTCTAACAGGGGTCTCACTGGCTGGAATACCTGTGCCCCAGAACTGCATTGCTTCCTGGAGGCTCTTGGTGAGAATCCATCTCCTTGCCTTCGGCTTCAAATGCTGCTTGAGACCCTTATCTCTCAGCTGCCTCCATCCCCAAAGCCAGCAGTGGCGGACGTGGCTTCCCCCATTGCCTCTCTGTTCTCTGAGGCTCCTGCCTCATCTTGCACATTGGTCACTCTCCCCATCTGAAAACCAGGAGGGAGCAGATACCAGACCATCAGGGTGGGAGTCCAGTGGGGGTCCTCTGAGGGGCAGATCCTAGTCTGGACACCCACAGAGTGCTGGGGTGGGGGTACCCTGGCCAAGGGGGTGTGGCCAGCAGCACTTTCCCTGCTCAGGGCACTGTGGGCCTCCATTCCGCACAGGCCTGCAGATATGCTGGTGGCAGAACCAGGCACCCCAGGAGAGGGCCCGCGGTCCTGTCGGCCATTGCCACAGCCTTGCCTGGAGAAGCAGAGCCTCCCCCAGCGTCCAGCTGACCAGCAAGTTTTCAAGAACATTTTATGCTTTTCCCAAATAAGCTGCACAGGTACGGTGAAATCGTCTCCTCCCTCCTAACACAGCCACCCCATGCCCCAGTACTGGCCGAGGCACAGCTCTAGAATGAGGGATCGTCTTCATCACAGACAATGCAAAGCCTCCTTTCCACTCTCGTGGGAAAGGCCTCTGTGGACCACTTTCCCATGGGAGCGGGTCCACAGACCCAGTAGGAGCAGTGCTGGGGGGAGTCTATGGGACCTCGTACCCCAGAGCCTGGAGCCCCTCTGTGGTGTGCCCGGCTCTCATTGTGAGGCCTACACCGGCCACTTCTGCTCTGAGACTGTGTGTCCTCCAGCTCCTCCTACCAGTCCAGGGGTAGGGTGGGGTTTCCAAGGCCTCTGGGAGACAGCTCAGAGAGGCAAAGTCCCTGCCCTGAGGCTACCAGCAGGTGCCTGCAAAGGGCAGAGTGGGCAGTGTCTGGTGTGGAGCCTGTACTTAGTGGGACAGGGCCATTGTGAGGGTCCAGGCCAGCCTGTCTGAGACCTCTGCTCACTGCTCCAGTCTGTCCTGTGCCCCACACCAATGGCATCTTTGTGAGGATTAGTATATGGTGCCGTCCCCCCCCACCCTGGGTGTCCCAGCCCTCGGCCAAGGAACATAACCGAGCCCTTTAGAGTCTGGTCTGGAAATGGCACCTGCTAGGCTCAAGCCAGCAGCTCCGTGGGATGGACTCCCCCTCCCCCACTGGTGTCCGCCTCCTGGGTCTGAGGATTCTTTCTTTTTTTTTGAGGTGGAGTCTCACTCAGTCGCCCAGGTTAGATTGCAATGGTGTGATTTTAGCTTACGCAACCTCCGCCTCCCAGGTTCAAGCGATTCTCCTGCCTCAGCCTCCCGGGTAGCTGGAACTATAGGTGCACCACCAACCCAGTTAATTTGTTTTATTTTGGTTAGTTTGTTTTTGAGACGGAGTCTCACTCTATCACCAGGCTGGAGTGCAATGGCGCAACCTCAGCTCATCGTGAACTCCGCCTCCCGGGTTCAAGCGATTCTTCTGCTTCAGCCTTCCAAGTAGGTGGGACTGCAGGTGCACATCACCACACCTGGCTACTTTTTGTATTTTTAGTAGAGACAGGGTTTGTTTCACCGTGTTGGCCAATACGTTCTCAATCTCTTGACTGCTCGCCTCGGCCTACCAAAGTGCTGGGATTACAGGCATGAGCCTCTGCGCCCGGCCTGATTTTTGTGTTTTTAGTAGAGATGGGGTTTCACCACGTTGGCCAGGAGGGTCTGAGAATTCTGCAGCTTCAATTTGTGCCTAGGGCCAGGACAGTGAAGGTCATGGGCCGCACAGCGTTCTCAGGCAGCTGAAGCTTCTCTTGACAGGACAGCCCTGGGCACGTGGCTTGGCTTGTGGTATGAGGGGTGGCCATTGGGTCCACTGCTGTGGTGTCACTGTTCCAAGAGGATCCACCCTGGACCCACCTGCTAGGGGCTGGCATCAGGGTCAGGTTAAGGAGGTGGTGGCTTTGAGCTCCAGGGCATTGGCTGGCAGCTTCCTGTGCTTTTCTCTCATGGTGTGGTCCCCATCCCTGGGGACAAAGCTCACCTAGGTCCTTGAGTTTTCCTTCTCTTGCTGCCTCTGGCCTGTAAAAGGGCAGAGGGACCTGGTCCTGAGCTCTAAGAAGCCTGACCCCAACGGTCCCTCAAGGGACTCTTGCTAGGCTGCCCTGTGGTAGTGACGAGGAAAGCCTGCCCAGATGTCAGCGCTCTCTCCCTCAGTCTCAGTACCCTCCCAGGTCCAACTCTCCCCTTCTCCAGAAAGCCTCCCAGGACTGCTGGCCCCAGGACTACAGACCTCCCAAGGGAAAGGTCTTCACCAACAGTCATAGCTGCAGGGATGATGATGAACTTGGAGAGGGTTGCAAACCCTGGGGCCGGGATTGGTGCGGGGTCCGGACCTGAAGCTGGGTTCACATGGCAGGCCTGGGCTCTTCTTAACGCTCCTGGGTGGTGACATTATGGGGTCCTGGATGCCCACTCCTAACTGTCCCTGGCACTGCCCCTGCCACCTGGGACTCCACCAGATCCCTTCTCCCCCAGCCACGAGGAAGCCTGCCCAGGTGTCAGCGCGCTCTCCCTCAGCCTCAGACAGTCTCAGAAACTGTTGTTATGTCTGAGACATTCTCACCATTTCTATGTCACAGCAGGTAACAAATACATACAATAAAATGAAATATCGTGATCAGCTGAGAAGAAAGTTTGGAATGGACCCATGCCACATGTTTCCAGGTAAGCCACAGCTTCTCTATTAATCCATTCCCGGCATAGGGTAAGGGTGGGGCCGGGAAACAGCCACTATCCAGCCCCTCCAGGCTGATTCAAGCCAGAGTGTGCGGGGGCTGGCCGTGGTGCAGAGCAAGCCTCCTGCTCAAGGCGAGCTTAGGGAGACTACTAGGGGCCCCAGCTGGGCAAGCTGTCCCAGCAGGGACAGCACAGGTCAGGGCTGGGCAGCGGGGTTAGTTGGCAAGGATGAGGGGTCTCTGGGGATGGAGGCTCAGGCTTGGGATTCTCAGGAAGGGCAGAACTAGGTACAGCAGGGAACTGTATGGAGGGAGGAAATCAAGCTTTCCTTCTAGAAAGGGCCACAGGGACCAAAGGGAGAGGGCAGGGACAGCCCCTGGAAGAGGCAGGTGAGGAAGGTGGGGATGGAAGAGACCTAGGAAGGGATCCTGGGGAGGCAGTGGCCAAGAGCGGGGTAAGGGCCTGGCTGCCCTTTTTTCTGCACCTGGCTCTCTTCTGGGGTGGCCCCGGTCCTGCTCTGCTGTCCCCTGTAGGAGGACAGGCGCCTCAGTCTTGTCCCACAGCAGATCCTTGCCACCCACAAGTCCTGCCTTGGGCTCTGCAGAAGCAGAGAGTGGTGGGGTCAGGACCCTGGGCCACAGAGGAAATGGGCTGGGGGACAAGGATGGTGACCCCTGGTCACCTTGTATGAGGAGAGGCAAGGGGCCAAGGCTTATGGCTCAATGTGGGGGCAGCAGCAGGGGGTGAGGGAAAGAGCAGGGACAGTGAGGAGGGCCTAGGGTCTGGTGGCCACAGTAGGCAAAGAGGACAGACTGTTTCCAAGGTCAGACAGGGAACAGGGAGCCCAAGGCCTGACTCCAGGGGATTTGGTTGCCATCCCACAGGTCCAGAGGAGTCCTGGCAGGGCTGAAGCTGAAGGGGTGAGAGGAGCTGGTGCTTGAGGACCTCAGCCATTGGCCAGGTGGGTTCAGGAGGGATTTCTGGGCCGGGTGCAGTGGCTCAAGCCTATAATCCCAGCACTTTGGGAAGCCGAGGCAGGTGGATCACGAGGTCAAGAGATCGAGACCATCCAGGTCAACATGGTGAAACCCCGTCTCTACTAAATATACAAAAAATTAGCTGGGCGTGGTGGCATGTGCCTGTAATCCCAGCTACTCAGGAGCCTGAGGCAGGAGGATCACTTAAGCCTGGGCAGTGGAGTTTGCAGTAAGCCAAGATCACGCCATTGCACTCCAGCCTGGGCAGCAGAGCAAGACTCTTGTCTCGGAAAAAACAAAAAAAGTTTATGTGAAAAAATAAAAATAAAAAAGTTTATTTGAGGCCTGGAGGTGGAGGTTGCACTGAGCCTAGATTGAGCCATCGCAGGCACTCTAGCCTGATGACAGAGCGAGACTCTGAAAAAAAAAAAAAGTTAGAAAACAAGGCCGGGCGCGGTGGCTCACGCCTGTAATCCCAGCACTTTGGGAGGCCAAGGCGGGCGGATCAGGAGGTCAAGAGATTGAGACCACCCTTGCCAACATGGTGAAACTACATCTCTACTAAAAATTAAAAATTAGCCAGGCCTGGTGGTACACACCTGTAGTCCCAGCTACTCAGGAGGCTGAGGCAGGAGAATCACTTGAACCCAGGAGGCAGAGGTTGCAGTGAGCAGAGATTGCACCATTGCACTCCAGCCTGACCAACAGGAGACTCTGTCTCAAAAGAAAAAAAAGTTTATTTGAGCATTTATTGCTTAATGAACCCTCCTAACACGAGACCGTGGGTAGCTAGCACTTCCAGGGAGAGCCAGGGGGACATTTACCAAGCATTTGCAGAAGCAAAACCAGGAAAACAACTTAACAGCTAGAGTAGAAAGTCTCTAGTTTGGGCTGGGAGTTTCAGGCTGGCTCTGCTTCTAGATAAAATGTGCGGTTCCCTTCCCACGGCATGGTTTATTCATGGAGGAATTGAAGGACCAGAGCCACCGCAGCCCAATGGCTTCCCAAAGAAAATTTTTACAAACAATATTGTCCTTCCAGTC